CCCCCTGTGCGCCAGACCCCCATCCCCCTCTACCCCCATCTCCCTCTACCCCATCCCTCTGCACCCTGACCCCCTGTGCCCCCTCCCCCACTCCCCCTATACCCCCGCTCCCTCTGCGGCTCACTCCCTGTCAAGGTTTCCTCCCCATTCTGAACTCTGGGGTACAGATGTGGGGACCTGCATGAAAAAAACCCTAAACTTATTTCTACCAGCTTAGGTTAAAAACTTCCCCAAGGCACAAATTCCTTTCCTTGTCCTTAACGGTATTGCTGCCACCACCAAGTGAATTAGACAAAAATTTAGGAAAAGGGCCACTTGGAGTCCGTATCCCCCCAAAATATCCCCCCAAGCCCCTTCACCCTCTTTCCTGGGGAGGCTTGAGAATAATATACAATGTGAGCACAGACCAAACGCCTTGGTTTTTAGGACACTGAAAATCAATCAGGTTCTTAAAAGAAGAATTTTATTTAAAAAAAAAAGTAAAAGAATCGTACCTGCAAAATACAGGGCAAATCAAAAGATTTCAAGCCCAGAGGATCCCCCCCGGCTCTGCTTCCCCGTTACAAATCAGGACTGAAATGACCGCTTGGCGTAGGGAAAATTCACAAGCTAAAACAAAACAATTTCTGTCATCTTAGATGCTCATTTCAGGTCTGTTTTCAGGAGATGTTTTTCCTGCCTGGACCCTCTCTCCATCCAGAGAGGAAACAACAAGGAGAGTCACAAACAATCCCCCCGCCCCCGGATTTGAAAGTATTTTCTTTCCCCATTGGTCCTTTTGGTCAGGTGCCAACTAGGTTAATGGAACTGATTAACCCCTTATAGGTAAGGGGATTCAGTACAGCTGCCCTGCGTATATTTATGACACTCCCCGTGCACCCCATTCCGCGGACCCCCATCCCACTGTACCCCAATCCTGGGCCCCATCCCCTTGTCCTCCCCATCTTCCTGTCCCCCTGTACCCCCATCCCTGCTCCCCCTGTGCCCCATCTCCCTGTACCCCAACCCCGGGCCCCTGTGCCCCGTCCCTGCGCCCCCACTGCTGTACCCCATCCCCCGAACTCCCACCCCTGAATCCCCATCCTACCCCGGACTGCCACTGCTGGGCTCCCATCCCCCAGATCCCCCTGTACTCCCCATCCCCCTGTATTCCTGGTCCCCCCTGGACCTCCCCAGTCCCCCTGGACCCTCAGGGTTGGGAGGCTCCTGTCCCCCAGAGGGATCTCGGAGTCCCCCCACCCGCTGAGGGCGTCTCTCCCCCACCGGCCTGCAGGGGGCACTGCCCTTCGATGACGACAACCTGCGACAGCTGCTGGAGAAGGTGAAGCGGGGGGTCTTCCACATGCCCCACTTCATCCCCCCCGACTGCCAGAGCCTCCTGCGCGGCATGATCGAGGTGGAGCCGGAGAAACGGCTCAGCGTGAGTCTGGCTGGGGGTGTGGGGGGTGCTGGCTGGGAGGAGCTGTGGGGGCGCGGGGGGAGCTGGCTGGGGGGGAGCTGTGGGGCACTGTTGGGGGTGCTGGCTGGGGGGAGCTGTGGGGCGCGGTTGGGGGTGCTGGCTGGG